CAGAATAATGCTTACAGCAGGTTTTTATTTAGATCGTGAAATAAAACAATTGGGACGCGAGGTTATGAATTCAAACACAAAAGAATTTCAACACTCGATTTAGGATGATAGAGAATATAATGCTCACAAGAAATAAAGAACTGAATGAAAACTTGAGCTATAATGTTTCGACATTACTAGGATGTTTTTGAGAATTCTGACCACCTAACCCAAGTTGTTACATCAGCTACCTTATAAAACCAACTTCTGTAAAAATCCGGTTTCCATCAACTTATTAAACAAAAAATGCCTCTTCAGTTATCCCAAAGTCATTGATGGGAAACATTGCCTTTTCAAGAAACAAATCACCAAAATTAGGTAAACCTAAGAATCGCCGCAGTATACTCATAAAATATTTATGAACCAAATGGAGACTTACAGTTGCAAGTGATGAATGTTTGGTTCCACATAAATGTTTGGTTTGGCGGGACGCGTAAGTAATCTTGATTATTCTCGTAGTTCATCATTATTTCGAAAGTTCATCTATCCAATCTCACTGCTGTTTTTTTTCTATTAGCGGAAATACATGAAACAATGTTCAACCTCACTGGAATATCATTCACATAACACTCATTTCAGCCTAAGATAATTCGTCCCTTTGTTACTTCCTAACTCTATGGTGTCGTTTCGGATTTATAGTTTACGTTGGATTGTTTGGTTGTAAACCCTTTGTATACTTATTGTAAAAACAAATATAACATTTATATGCAAAATGTAAAAGGTCTGAGGAATAGTAAGATGCCACTTAATCTCACTACTATTTTGGTGCCATAATTTTTAAAAATACAGTGGCACGGCACAATAAAGAAACTTTCCTTTTTTGTTTTTACTGTTTAAGTAAACACAAAACGTATTCAACAAACAAAAAGTTTGGTACTCAAGGGATGGAATTTTAGGTTTCAGTTAAAACTATGGATACGTAATGGCATTGGGCCCTAACCACATAACCCTTAAAGCTGCGAAACTAGATATTCAATATTTAGCGCGGAAAAAAACGCGACGATGGAGAAGGTGGGAAGAAGGGATTGAAGTAATTCGAATACATCGTATGGCATCGCTGGGCCTTGCGGTCGTGATCATTATTAAGTGTTAACACATACCTTTTATTCATACTAAATATATTGTTTTGTCTATAGCCTAAGTTTGTTCTCCATTACAGATTGGTGATTGTTTCGATTCGATGAGTTGATGTAGACAATGATGTGACTTCCACGTAAAATCTAGTAGATTAGGCAGTTGCATCATGACAAACCCACAATTTTATGATCAGGTCTATTATTAGAGCAGTACTAATATCGTAGTAGACCATAGTTCCACAAATATCTTTGCCTGAATCCTTGCCTGGATTAATGACATGCGAGTGATTAATCCGTGTCAGTGATCCTTGAAATTGACAATGCTCTATAAACTCTCAAACAGTCAGTGACTTGTTCTTTAAAGTAGGAGTAGTTTAGCCTAGGGATTGGTTTATCTGTAACTCAGCGACGTTTCAGTTAACCTTCAGTACCAATCATAAGATTCGAAGACTTTCTGAATCAATATCAAATTCATCGGGTGTGGACACTCATTGGAATTCGATCCGAAAGATCCATAAGAATTCTAAGAACATCTGATAGATTAGTCGAAAGTAAGTCAAAGTAACTGATCAAAAATGCAAATCATAATAAATCATAGAATTACATATTTGTCGACCTGTTTAATGATCACATACAGGTTGGTTCAATATGTAATAACTTAAAATTACGATAATAAATAATAATAAACTTTTTAGTGCTCAGATAAGCTGTATTGAAATAAACAGCTTCAGGATTCGACCAGCAGTTTTTTCAGACAAGTGATATAATTATTTCGGTGATGCAATTTTGGTAATACAATAAGTGAATCATCAATCGACGTCAGTGACTGAGCCTTCATTGTCCTAAAGCTGAAAGACATTCAACGCCAGTGACAGTTTTCTGTTTGTAAGTGTTGAATTCATTTTATACTCACATTCTTGTAGTTAAATTTATGGGTCGATTTAAGCTAAACCGCCATTGGAAACCTGTGAGCATTGAACGGTCGCTTCGTTCTAGTGTGGTACTTCTCAGCAGTGCTTATCCACGATGCAGCTCTCTGGACTCGAACCCCGGGACCTTCGATCTCACACTGGACACTTGACATCTAGACCGCTGAGTGGGCATCCAACGGTGTTACACTCTAACTCTAACCACTGGTGACTAGCTTCAGTATAGATTTCCCAACGAAGTTCAATCTGTATCAAGCGGAGACAGTTATCTGCCTAGAACAATAAGTGTAGGGTTATAAGACTAATGACTGTCCTTACAATCAGTAAGGGACATTGACAACGAATCGAAAGCATAAACGACGAGATGAGGTTGTCTCTACAAGACGATGAAAGGGCGAGTGCTGCATTGTAGCTTCATAACTGAGCCGAAGAATGTGGAACGGAGCAGAAGAAACCTAGGATTGTTAATCTGGACTCAAGTCGACGGTGCTTGTGCCAAATTCTGTCATTAAGTAGATATGACAGTGGCGGTTACATGTTGATGTAAATTCTCTGGACCTCACAAAATGATGAGTCGCGCGCGTGATTGAATCACTGGACAATTATTTGAACTAAATAGGTTCTAAATTATCGAGTATTTAGGCGGCTGATATATGTACCAAAAGCATCCGTTGGGAAACGGCCAAGAAGAAACAGTGCCTCATACATTGGGCAGTTACATATGTCAATTGATCGACTAAATTAGTTTAGCTATTTAGGTCAATTGAATCGAACATAATTCAGGGTTTTTAGGTCTCAATAATCATACATGGTATTAGAAAATCGTTTTTAATTAGCTTTCAAGGTGCTGGAGAGCCGTTAGAGTGCTGAAAACAGCTAATGCTGCTTCATATAGTTCGAACCATTTATGTTTTTGTACTTTCCACATCACGCGTACTAAATCATCACATTATTATGGTGTTGGGATATTCAGGAAAATATCCCAAAAATTATCCTGTTAAGCCTAATGCTATCCTTGGACATGGAATGGTATCATCTTATTGGTCAATATTTGTTTAACGTGTCATTTTCCTACTGGCCATTATTGTACAATGTTATTTTCTATTTTATGGTACGTTGTGGTCTGCTTGACTGGTATATAAACAAAGTATGTTTGAAATATAGTGATTCATATATCCGAGGCTGTGACTTGTGTTCTGAACTCAACTGGCTGGGTTAGACAGGGAAGCGGGGCCAATCAGAACCCTAGGTCGTTCTACGTGTTTGTGCGTCTTTGGTTCGATCAATAATTCGCTACCCCTTAATCCGCAGCATTTATTTTTCACAGTTATAACAGATGGGCTGCGTAATTTGACTAAGAGCCGTGGTGGAAAATGACTCTGCATTTATTGTTATGTCTAACATCTAGTTTTACAGAATGGTTTGAGTAAAATACACGAATTACAACATCAGAGTTAAATAATTGCACTGGCCCAGATGTCTGGCATAATGTGACGGCGAAATAACATCGTTGTAATGGATGCTAACAGTTGTGTAAAACGTTCGTTTAGAGGAATAATTTCTGTATCCGGCTTCGTAGATACAGACATGTATAAAGACTATGGTTAGTTTTGTAAAGAAATATTGAGGTCAGATAGAAGTTTTCAAACCTATATTGCATATTAAATCCCGAATGTGAAAGTGACATGACATTTGTGTAGTAAGAAAGTTGAGTCACAGTTTAACTTGTGAGGCAACGGTAGGTACAAAATGGATAACAAACGTTATTTAACATGGTAGTCTCCTGTGAAAACGAAGTTTATGGGCTGGAGATAACCTAGCCATATTGTAAAAGTCTGTCACAGAAGGTTAAATTTTTATCATTAAGTAACATATTACGTGCGATAATACGACTGTGTCCAGTTGAGGTATACATTTTTACGAAACAGATATACATAGCTTCAACTAAAACGTGACGAGAGTAATGGAATATATGGTCACACCATCTCTCGTGTAGTTCCTTCACTTCATACATTAGTTTTTAAGGCAACCGTAGCTTAATAACTCCCCACAGTGTATGAATTTCAGAAGACAATAAGAAGCTATTATTATAGTTTAATATCGTACAGCGAAAATCGGAAGACCACCAAGCACATGATGCGAATACAATTAAATGCAAATGAATGTCAATGAATGAATAATGTTCAGGAAGCTTTCGTTCATAACCATTAGAGTCACTGAGTGATTTATATTACTAACATTTAAGTTTGTAAGAGAAGTGTATGAGCTGAGACACGTGGGTAAAAATATATAATCGTACAAACATTTGAATAATAGTATAAGTACGTAAAAAGATCGTTAAACACTGGAAAGACACCTTTTCAGGCAAGCTAATGAAGCGTCAGTAAATTCGAACATATGCAAAATGAATTGTACGTGAAGAGGCTACAAAATTTTTCCTGCTTCCTCATTCTCAGATTCCTACATTAGGGCACCGATCACCAAAACTGCTAGAATTGGAAGCTCGTTAAACAGTCAACTCTTCTGTTTTTTCCTCAACCCTTTGACACACTTTGATTTTTTAGAATTTCAAACGACATATATAATCATTCCTTATTCGAAAACCATTAGATGATTAGGCAGAGTATTTCAAATGATATTCAAACGCAAACCAAGCCAGAAACGTCTTTGGGCACCATTTTAACAGCTTAGAGAAAGAGTGTTATATCATTTGATTCAAATAACATGGTTTGTTTAATTGACTCGGAATAGCACAACTGTAAATTTACCGCCGTTTTGGAGATTCGTAGATCAGCTGCGACAACCATGTTGTGACAAAGTTTTACCCCCATTTTATACCGCATCAGGTTTTTAAAATTCCAATAATCTAACAATTTAGTAGAGAAAAGTGTTTTAAAACCCTATTTTACTCACATTTATTCTTCTATACCAATTTGTTGGGATATCAGCGTATGTTATGGATCTGGATCATCGAAACGGCTATCATCAGTCAGAAAACTCTCACAACCAAGGAAATGTGATTCACAAATATGCGATGTATGAAGCGAAAAGGCCTTTGGGTGATCGCACTGTTCTGGGAAACTTAACAAATAGACAACGGGTAAATTTCACGTTTCATAACAATATGCTGTACTAGGATGATTCGGCACGTGAGAAATTTATCGGCTCCCAGTTCAATCCAAGTAAGTTGTTTCTGAAAAAATCCATGAGTTATTACGTTATATGACGAGGACGTGCGGTCGATATCACACAACTGCCATTTTAGAGTAGTGTACAGATATCCTAGTTTGTGGATTTATGATTCACTCTTATCATGTGTTCAGAAATACGTCAAAATTTACTCAGGAAGCAAATTCGTCTAAACTTTTGAGGTCGTAGGGAGTTGATTACAAGTTCATAAAGTCACATCAGTCATTATATCATCCTCAGTCAAGAATAAAATCCGGTGATGTATAAATTTGTTTGTAAACTCACGTCATTTCGACTTCATAGACGTTTCTTAGATAATTCTGGCGGCAATCGCATCCTCATGTCAGTGTTCCACCTACTCTGGATGAAGTGATCGTACAAATAAATGGGGGAATGTTTGTGTGTTATGAGCCTACAATAAATTTATTAAATGATGGTTCTCAACTAGTCAATGTTATCTTATTGACTATGTTGCGTGAGACGTCTGACAAACCAAGTAGTGATTGTTGATTTTCGATCCAGGGCTTTTTCTTTGTAAATGAGAGCAATTACTAAGTAACAGATAAAGATGAGCCCAATAGTAGTCTTTATCGATGCATTTTTGGCCGTAAAGTGCTGATTGTAGTTTCATCAAAATAGCAGTTGTCAACGTGACGTCCTAAAAACAATTAAGAACTTTAAAAAACCCATTTATTAATTGTCTGGGATAGTATCGAAACACTAACAGTTACTACCGTCGCTGTGATCCTACCATGACCATCTTTACTTATGCTGAGTACCATTTTTACCCATTGATTCGTAAATGAAATATTTTTTGACCTAGTCTTCTGAAACAACTCGTTTGGCAAGCATAGGTTTAATATATTGAGCTACAAAACACTGTGTGGCGGCTGGTAGTGTCTACGCTCTCGAAACCGAAATAGTTGAAGTGGGATTCAAGCATGCGACCAACTTGGTGGAATGCAAATGTTTTAATTAATAACTAAATAAGGAACCGAGTCTTCTCAGTGGTTCTCGAACGTATGTTGGGACTTCCCCAAAACCATATTTTCTGACTATATATCAGTACAATTTACAATGTGAGACCATCACGGGTCATTTGCCGTTTTTAATCCTTAATAATCGGGAACTAAATATAAACTCCCTCAAATAGGAGAGTGGATATTTATTTATTATTTTATTTGAACACAAATATTGGTACAAGAGGGCACCAAATATATATGCGCCACACAAAACAATAAGAATGGGAAGAGAAAAAAGGTAAGATGCGTATAAGGAAAAAAAGAACAATAACGACCACAGGTTAGTGTAAGGTAGTGTAATAATTATAATAATGGGGGAAACGGGAAGGTACAACCAGAAGAATTTTTTCAGTTAAAGAAGATACTACCACTTTTTATGAAGAAAGTAAAAGGTTATAGCAGGATCGCCACTAGCTTCTATTCTGAGCTATATCTGATAACGTCTCTAGCCACAGTAGTCTTTAACACATTTGTGTAGGTCATCTAGAACAACAATTGAATGGTAAACGAGTGACTGCTCTTACTCTGCTTACGTGGTTTGGGAAGATAGCTGGAGATGTTCTTTGTCAGATCTCCCCTTAGTTGACTTGAATTAATCTGTGTTCAGCGGCCACTACACAACTAAAAAGACTCCCAAGTTTGCAGTCTTTGAGAAAAGCAGAAATCTGTATAACTGAAAGGCTGGTATCCAGTAGTCATTAATTTGAAGTGTACCTGTGGTCATTCGAATAATCTTTCTGCACACAAATCAATCATACTTAGTTTAACATTGACAGTCGTATGTTAGCAGTCATGCCAATTTTTAACAACGATTAATCGTAACTACGATCTAAGTACAGTTTGTTTTTGACTATGACAGTAAAGTAGTTCGTTTTGTCAAGAAATAAGCTTCGAGGTATTGAAAATTATGTGGTAAGGATATGTCACTGAACACATTTTCTCAACTTCGGGTTCGGATTTCCTTATATAATTGAAAGTCCAATGATCTCAGTATGCATACTGTTAACATATAGCCTTGGTTGTTTGTTAAAGCTGATCCAGTACCATTCCAAATAAATTTAAACTGCTAATAACATTTTGTAAGGAATGATGGATAGTGACTAACAGTGGGATCCAGGACGCGCGTTTTGTCCTATACACAGTATGCACATATGCCAATAACAGACTGATCAATTGCAGTCTTAAGCCTCAATGGGAAGATACAAGCCAAACAATACCAAATGCTAATTACATTTTATATAAAGACTACGTTGCTAACAATACATTTGTGTAATTGGCACCATAAATTACATATTGGTTATATCAGAAAATGTTTCATCTCTTTCCAAATTCTACTCTGGGTTCATTTTGTGGCTAGTCTTTCTAACATTCTCTGAGGATAGATTAAGTTTTAGCGTATGTATATTAACCCTGTACAGACTCTCTTCTCGAACACTATTGGCTGAGCCAAAGCTTACGGGGAATTCTCTTTGGGATTGGTAACTTCAATTTGTGTTCGTCAGCGTTATCGACTTTCATCATTTTTATTTAACCTTGTCATAGATATTCCTTTAGACATAACTCGTCGTCTAATTACAGGAACTGGTCTACCAGAAGATCCACTTTTGACTTAGAATACCCAGATAATATAGTTCCGTTTGGTGAAGACACTGACAAAATGCATAGTCTTTTGACTACCTAAAACACTAGTGCTATAATGTTTGGGATGCGTTTCTCTCCCTCCAAATGCAAAATATTCTTTCAAGATTTGTCTGTGTCAACCCCTGAATTAATGATAAGGAGTGAAGTAGTTGAGTGTGTAGACCACTTCGTTTATCTCGGAAGTCACGTCACCGCTAATGGGTTTGCCTAACGAAATTTCGGCGTGGATTTTAAAAACTGGGTAATTGTTTGCCGAATTTATTGCGGTTTGTATGATTTCCGTAACTAATAACTAAACACTAGATGACAATTAGATTTACTCTTTGTTTTCCCTTAGGTCCTAAGTTTCTAGCTTCTTCACAACCTTTTTATTCCACTAATTTATATTCTCTCCAGTCGTATATTCGATCACCAATTTTTTTCCGTTACTATTGTCAGTGTTTCTACCTCCATTACTCTAAGATTTACCATGACAATTCCATCTCGCTGTGCTAATGAGGTATTGGAAATTGGACCGATGTACATACGTACCAGGCACTACGTTGCGCTTGACTGACTGAATGGACAGCCGGGCAGTATCCCAGCCCACACACAAATCAATCATAATTACTGCTGGACAGGTTTTCCTTGATTCAACGCTCACTCAGACAATCTATATTCACAATCATTTGGTAGCATTCGTTTTCATTTCCTTCATACTATGTCACTTGTGTACTCCCCTTTGTTCTCATTTTGTGTATTTTCTTTTTCAACTTATACAGCAGCTCGCTTATGGTGGAAACCCTGTCCTGTCTAAACTATCTGAAGTCTTTGACTGGTCGGAAGTTGAATACTACCACCGACTTCGAATACTGAACCAATCTTTCTGAAACCACGTAAACCCTTCAAACTGGCCTTCAACGTAGCGCTAATGAGGTATGGCAACTTGAACCGATGCATATATGTGATTAGTCCTACGTTGTAGCTGACTGAACGTTCTCATACTAATGCGGATCGGACCACAGGTAGGGGTGGTTATGTCTTTTGGAAGTCTCAGCATCGATATCTGTTGTCTGTTCCGGATCCGTATTCATTACTAATGAAGTACTAAGAATTAACTTTCCGTCACTTCGAAAAGCTTGTTTCACGTGCGTTTATCTGGGGACCCTGTGGCACTTTCGCTTAGTTTTGCTGGCGTTGGTATCGCACTAAGCTGTAGATATCAGAGAACACTAATCGATTGGATCCCCATTCACAGTCGATCATGTGCTGTTAGATTAGGAAGTTCCATCAAAGTGCGAAGAAATCAGTGTGAAAAAATGTCTTTTCGTCATCTTTGTCTATGCCTGTATACAGAAAGTGCGTTTGACAGATATTGTAGTACCAGTCGCAGACTTGAATACATAGATCGGGCGTCTAGGTAGAGAGAAGAGTCGTTCGGTCGACCGATAAGGAATTGTTCGTCGTAAATCAGATAATACTGACTGTTCACTGCATCTATCTGCACCACGTGGAGTCAGTCAATCAGCTACAATTTAGGACCAGACACATATATGCATCGGTCTAAGTTGCCATACCTTATTAGCATAGCAAGATGAACACCAAATTCATAGAAGCAGTTACTTCATTGGCAGTAATATATAAAAAAATCGCGTATAAGAATATTATACAGAAAAAAGAATTAGTTCGTGGAGAAAAATGTATAAAGTAATTTTAATCTCACGTTTTGAGGGAAGACACAGAGTGTATGAACCTACGCCATTGCGATCGACTCTGAGCCATGTCATCCACAGTCTCCAGCTATTGGTTGCGATAGTCACGCGGACCCCAACCGAGTAACCTGCCTTTACCAATATGGTTCAGACCAAAAGTTGGGGATTGATGCCAAGTTTTGGTTTGGCCGCCCCTAACCTCCATCCGTTTCCAAAACTAGTCAGCATTGTGCGTCGTGGTAGTCGGTGGTTGTGCATGCGTATTACGTGGCCCAACCATCTCAGTCGATGAAAATTCACAACCTCACCAACTGATTAACCATCGTTCTCTAATAACTTGCGTCTAGCCTCACTGTTACTTGCCCTGTGATCCCAGCAGATGCGAGCAATATTTCTAAGACATTTGTGATCAAGTGCTAGTAATTTACGGGTATCATCTACTCTTAATGGCGACGTTTCGCAGCCGTAAAGTAAAACAGGACGAAATGATACGCAGCATACTCTTCCCTTAATCACAACTTTGCACAGACTACAACCTGTTTTCAGTTTGCACTAACTATCGACACAGTCATCGCTGATGTGCTAACTGGCGTTTTCCTTCTGCATCTCGGACTTGGACTTAGAATGGTCACATCGTGATCAGCCACTCCTGGAGCGGTCGTGTTCGAGACTACTACTCCTTTTCGAGTAGCCATCTGAATTCTGATCATGCCCTTGCTTGCGCTAATCTAACCTTATGTTTCATTGGGCAATAAATTTGTCGTCCTAGACGGTTCGATGTCAGCAAATCGGTTGCAACTTCTATTGCAACTAAATATCAAACCGAGATAGGTTCAAGGTTAGTTACCAACACGCCGAAAAGTGTAGATAAGCGTTGGTTGAAATTGCATGACGCCATGAAAATCGCGAGTAAAGTCGCTTGTGGCTTCACGAAACGCCTCGCTTATAAGCACTGGATTTCTACGGGCTCCTTATAGCTCATTGAAGCACGTCAGTTGACTCCGGCTGACTGCGAGTTGGACCACAAACGAAGATTGTTACGTAATTAAATTTTACAAAGTTTGCGTAAGGACTGAAAAGCCTAGTGGTCAGAGAGTGCTAATGAGTTGAAACAAGCAGCTGCATTTGGTAAAAGTCGGAAGCTCTTTCAGCTCCTCCGAGTCACTCGTAGTAAGACGTCTGGCGTGAGTGAAACAATCTGTGAAGTTGACGATGCTAATCACCAACATCTATCGACGTCTTGGACGATAGAAAGTTTTCCGAGGATCAATTCAATTGGTCTGCTGCTCCAGCGACATCAAGCAAACTGTTCTACCCTCCATGGCGTGTGGTGACCTCTCCACCTTGTTCCTGAAGCGCCACAAATCACCTAGCCCAGATGACTTGCCTCCGACTTCTTTTTAGAGATGATGATGACTTTCTGGTCAGAGAACTGACGGAGTTGTCTACAAAGGTCTGGGAATTAGAGAATATCCCAACATCACAGAATGAGTCGAAAATTGTACCCATCTTTAAAAAGGGTTCATTTCGTTCTTGCAACAACCATCGGAGGATAAGTCTACCTCCGATAGTGTCCAAACCATTAGCTTCCGTCATACTTCGTAGATTTTCCAAAACCCGAGAAAGACTGACTTGTGAGGACAGGCTGGTTTTCGTTCTGACCGGTGATGTCTTGTTCATACCTTCACCCATCCGCCAAATGTTAGAACATCGTCATGCTAATTGCAAGCCAACAGTCGTAGTGTTTCATGCCTTTTGGGCCTCCCTCGATTCGTTGGACAGGACTTCTCTGGGATTATCCATTTTAAAAGGATGCGTCTGAGAAGTTTATTAACATATTGAAAGCCCTATATACTAACTCCTCCGGCAGAGTGGAGACATATAACCACCTCTCCACTGTTCATTTCAAGCAATGAGGACAGGCAGGGTTGTCCAATCTCACCATTCCTCCTCAACTTTGCCATCGATGGCGTTCTGGAAACAGCTCTGATGGATGTAGGTAAAGGTGGTATTGTTCTGTTGCCCGGAGAAAGACTTTTCAACCTTGAGTATGCGGATGATATTATCTTTCTGTGTGATGATACCTAAGGAGGTAGAAGTAGTCGAGAATTTGGTGTAACTGGGTAGCTGCGTAAGTGCTGGTGGTGGCGTGAGTTATGAGATCAATCCACGTATAGCGAAAGCCTGAACGGTTTATGCCGATCAGGGTCACCTTTGCCTCCTTCGTGATGTCAGTCTAGCTGTAAAAGATTGGATCTACAACGCGTCGGTGAGAGCAGTTCTGCTCTATGCTTGTGAAACCTGGCCTTTCCGAGTTGAGAACGTTAGACGACTCTGTGTTTGATCATCTTTGTCTCCGAAGGATTGCTGACACCCAGTGGCAACACCATGTTATTTATTTATTTTAGCACATAAATCTTGGTAGAAGGAGGCACCAAATACATATGCGCCACAAAAATCTCATTCGATATGTGTGAGGGCTGTGATACTGCCCGGGTGCCCAAACCGAAACAGGTGGTTTTCTTAGGGGGCCACTTCCCGAGCCTTCGACCTGAAGGTCTGATCCACAGGGCAGTGGGGTATTGTATGGAGATGCAGTCCCATGGAAGCCGGTGACCAACGATTGATTCATACGCCATTTGTTCCCTCAGGATACTGGAGCCCATGTGCACCATTGATTTGGTTTGAGATCCGGTTAAAGCACCGGACATTCGCTGTTCGTCCTTTCATTTTCGTAAACACCACCCCCGCCACGAGAAGGCAGTGAGTAGAACTTCCCTGGTAGGAGCTATATACGCGTGGCCGTGTGAGAGCATTTCGAGAGGGAGAGCGGACTCTTCCCACTCTCGGCCGTACGTTCGGCATCGTGTGTTCAGGCACATAGACGATAATGCAATTGGTGTCACCATCTTGAATCATCGACTTCGGTGGCTTGGACATGATCTACGAATTTCGTCCCAGAGAATTCCACATCGTGCACTATTTGCTGACGCTGGGACCTGTTGGATGGAGTGGAGAAGTGGTCAGTGTATGACATGGTGTCGGGGTATGAAAGAAAGCTACAAAGAGCTGGCGTCTGTTGGTCCTTCACAACTCCCCGGTTGGGGTCATAGAGGTGGTGCAACATAATGGCTAGAGGTGTTATCACTCATGGTTCAGGATAGAAACCAGTGGCAGTCCTGCTGTAACTTTGTTTTACTTCACAAAAGTAAACGTAACTCCAACTAAAAGAATTTCTGGCTGTATTTCCACTAACTGAACTGTTTCTGCCATTATTATTCATTCTCACACACTAATTTCTTTTTGTTTTTTTATTATTATACGCTATTTACATTCTCACAACCTCATTGTTTGGCGCGTATGTATTAGATGCCCCCTTGTACCAATATTTATGTGTTCAAATAAATGATTTTTTCTTTTTACCATATCCATTTTGTTGAAAATTGTATGTTAGTATTTCATCTGAACACTTTGATGTTCACCCACATTGATATTTACAATAGCTAACCTTCTGTTAAATCTTAATGTAAGCTACAATGCTAAAAAGTCATATTTTGTGTTTATCTAAATCACTAACATTATCATAGGATATTTTTTAAACAGATGAAATTGTCTGAACCATCCGTAAAGCGAATTTTACAACTAGAATACCCTGCAGTAAATAAAGAGTTCACTAAAAACTGCAATCCCTAAAGTATTATTTATTAAAGTGTACACTCATCTAATTTGTTCAAGAATTTTTTGGTTAATATTCAGTAATTTATTGCTAGTCCATATGTTATGAAGTTGTCGACTTAATCTGGTTTGTTTTCGAAACTTTACTAGTTCACAAAAATAGCAAGTTGATAAATATAGAAGCTAAATACTCATCAATAGTTTCAACTACATTGGGTCATGGTGATTTGAACTCAACATCAAGTGCAGATAGTGGTTATGGCAGCATAAACACTGAGTCGATTGTTGTGGAATCCAAACTTACATCCAAATCGTTAACACAATCACTTTTGTGCTGTAAATCATTGAATTCCGAACAAGTATCAATATCAAAACGACCTCGTTATGACGAATCTGATACAACTTCTCAGGTAGAAGTATCTTGCGTTGATGAAGATTCAGATGATGATAGAAGACCATTTGAATCAAAGGTGAGTATTCTGTGTAGTTTTTTTGTACGACATGAATTTGTTTAACGATTTTTAATTGTTTGTAATTTTCTTTGATGTACATAAATCAAACTCAACAAAGTGATCAAAATATTCCAACCGTCATACTTTAGAAGCAAGTGATATCATTTTACTCTGCAACATTTATGTTAGATTCACCCAGTTTCAAGGAGGTTTAATTTCAGTTATGAATTAATGTTAGTTAGAATCTTACTGTAACACGACGAAATTGGTTTGTTAAACATTCATAACTGACTTTATCGTATTCTTTAACAGCTGGCTTGTGATATTGTTCGAGCTGCATTTGCTGATCGTGTTCAGTTGGAAGAACTTTTAGCAGAATGTAGAAGGGCCGATTTCGCTATTTCAGCCTTGGATCGCTCTCCGGTTGATCGCATGATGGAAGCTACAGACTATATTGTTGGGATAATGGCCTATGAACAAACAAGGGAAGCAAAAGTAAGATTCTATCTAAAGAGGTTCCTAATCAGTGTTATAATGTGCTGATTTACTGTAATCAGTATAATATACACCCTCATAATTATAATCAATCAGTAATTAATATTCTGCCTTTGAATAACCTCTTGAGCACCAGATAACATTTTTAACTTATTTTTCCTGGTTAAACACTATGACCAGTGCATTTGTTTATTTATTATATTTTAGGAAGATTTTCAAGTGAATGATTTTTTGGCTGCTGGTAAACAACCTAATCTCAATGCTGATATGTTAACAACACTAGCCGATTGGTTAGTCGAGGTTCAAGAAAGTTTCGCATTGAATCATGAAACAATTCATTTGGCTTGGGGTCTTTTATATGCGTTTTTAGATCGTGGTCAACCACTTGCTCGGTAATTTTTTCTTCCTGTATCCCATTAATTACTAAAAATTTGATTTTTTTGACAACAGCTTTTTGATTTCTCGTGAAGTTTAGTTGTAGCTGAATTGTGTACAAACGTATCAAATTCACATATAAAAGTGTTGTTAGTTCTCAGTGTTATAGCATAACATTCGAATAATTAACGTCCTTAAATAAAAATCATGTTTTAGTTCATTGATTTCGATTGTCTTAATAATTACATTCATACTAGTTAAAGCATGAATAGTTTTGTAAAAAAACATTAAGATCCTATGTTAGAGGATTTACATTGAATTGGTTTGATTCGAATAGGTTTTTTTATCGGTTTACAAAAAAACTCTAAGAATCTTAACAAAATAAAACCTGAGCTCACGGATTCACTATTTCAACTAGTTGACATAATTGTTATTTTATGCCAGTTTAGATGTGTTATTTTGTCATTGTGTCAAATTTGTGTGTTCATCCGGTGCTCCAAATTATTCTATAATTAGCCACATATTCTCACTTGATTTCATGTTTAAAACCTTGTTCAACGTAAATCTTACCATAATTATCAATAGTAGTTGGAAACTATTTCAAGAACATACTGTTTAGATTTTGCCTTTGCGGGCTTGTGAAAAAACTGTAGTATGAATTAGCCATCTTCAGTGATATTCTTCAGGACTGCTCACTGTCTACACTTCTATCCAACTTCATTATAGACATTCCTAGATAAGTTTTTGATTGAGAGCATGAACAAACTGATGTTATACCACTATTGGAAACCTGGAGGCACTGGACGGCGGTTTCTTCCTATTGTGGGACTCCTCAGCAGTGCGCATCCACGATCCCTCTCTCGAGATTCGAACCCAGGGCCTCCGGTCTCGCGCGAGGACACTAAACCTCTAGACCGCTCAGTGTGAATCCCACGGTGTTAATGTCTAACTTCAACCAATCCACGAAATTGCGCGACCATCTTTCATTTTACTGAAGTATAAGTGGGGCTAATCCATGTCAGGTAGTGATAGGTATCTACTTCAGTAAAATGGAAGATGGTCGCGCAATTTCGTGGATTGGTTGAAGTTAGACATTAACACCGTGGGATTCACACTGAGCGGTCTAGAGGTTTAGTGTCCTCGCGCGAGACCGGAGGCCCTGGGTTCGAATCTCGAGAGAGGGATCGTGGATGCGCACTGCTGAGGAGTCCCACAATAGGAAGGAACCGCCGTCCAGTGCCTCCAGGTTTCCAATAGTGGTATAACATCAGTTTGTTCATGATCTCAATTAAATACTTAATAACCTCCACAACCCCATACTGATGATTCCTAGATACGTCGTCCTTCGTCCGAATCTTTCTAGATTGGCCTCCTACGAAGAAATTCAGTTGTCGAATTATTTTGCCAATTCATTCTCAGATCTTTCTTACTATCACTGATACTACCACTTTCACCACTCCGATGCTTATCTTGATAGATTCATCTCACTCTGCTGATAAGGTTTAGGAATGTGGTCAGGTACACGGTTGTGGAGATAACACTCTCCTCATCTAAATTTCCAGGGGTTGAACTTGTACCGGGAGGTTCACTTGTTGACTTAGAATATGCAGATGACATAGTTTTATTTGGTGAAGACGCTGAAAAAATGCAGAGTCTTCTGACCACTCTAAGCAACAATGCAAGCATGTTCGGGTTGCGATTCTCTCCCTCGAAATGCGAAATGTTGCTTCAGGATTGGGTTGCATCGACACTCGAACTAATGATAGGGAGTGAAGTAATTGAGCGTGTCGACCGCTTCACTTATCTTGGAAGTCTCATCAGCACGGATACAGAAGGCTCGACTAGCTTTTGCCAACTTGCGTCATTTATGGCGTAGGCGAGATATCCGTCTATCAACCAAAGGACGTGTTTACTGCGCAGCAGTTCGTTCCGTCCTACTTTATGGCAGTGAAACATGGCCGGTAAGAGTGGAGGATATCCGTAGGCTACTAGTATTTGATCATAGGTGTCTTCAAAACATTGCTCGTATATCATGGGACCATCGAGTAAGTAACACAGTTGTTAGTAAACGGGTACTAGATAAGGATGGCAAATCAATTGATGAAGTAGTGAAACTTCATCAGTTGAGATGGCTGGGACACGTGTTACGTATGCCCAACGACCGACTGCCTCGACGTGCTATGTTCAGTGGTATAGGAGTAGGTTGGAAGAAAGCTAGGGGCGGCCTGACCAAAACATGGCACAAGTTCATGAAGTCACTGACAAGTGGACTGAGTCATGTTGGTAGGTGTAGACTACCTGGTTGGGGACCGCGAGATGATAGCAACCGATGGTTAGAGACCCTGAATGACATTGCTCAAAATCGTTTGCAATGGTGCAGGTGCATTCACTCTTTGTGTTCTCCCAAATTCTTTATGTCCCTTTTTTTCCTCTTTCCAAATTTATTTCACTGGATTATACTCTTTAAATAACATCTCCAAACCCTAATCTTCTCGATTACTGCTTATACTCTTACTACCTCTACCACTACGGGATTTGAATCGACAACTGCATCTCTGTGCTAATGTGCTGTGGCAACTCGAACTGATGTACGTACGTACGAAGTTCTACGTTGTTACTGACTGACTGTGGTAGGTTCTTACGTTTGTTATAAGTGATCGGCTGAGTACTATATATCAAACCTAAGTGCTGTGGTCGCATTCAGAATTTTATCTACATAATATATCCTGTAATTTCAAGCCACTGCCATATTTGTTGATTCTTCAGCTTTTTGATGTATAGAGTTTGGCTGACCTTTTTTCTTCTATGAATACTACAGGCGTGAGATTCAGTTAATGGCATGTGCTGCAATCATGGTTGCTTGCAAACATGAAGAACGACAAATGCCTCATCTGAATGAATTTTTGTACATAACGGACAACGCGTATACAAAAGACGAATTCATTGAAGCTGAACGCCGTCTACTGATAGCGATCGATTTTGCTGTACATCGTCCAAATCCTTATGTTTTTTTGCGTCGTTATGCTAGGGTAATTCATGATTTTGTGACCTTGTTTTATAATAACAATTAGTAGTTTGTACTATCATATTAGTTTTTATTTTTTAATTGATGACTGGATAATGCTCATATTGACCAGTAGTTTTCGGTCGGGAAGGAAAGCTAGGGGCGATTAGAGTGATTTGTGATACTGGCCAGTGAAGTTCTCTCAAATGCCCTGGCATGGCTTAAAGTGGGACGAGTCAGCTCTCCCTCTTGAAATGCTCTCACATGGCCACGTGTATACAGCCACTATCAGGGGAGTCCCGCTCACTGCTTTCTCGCGATGGGGGTGTTTTTAACGAAATTGAGAGGATGAAAAGCGAATGTCCATCGCTTTAACCACCTGTTTCGGTTTGAGCACCAGGGGAGTATCCCAGCCCTCACACAAATTGAATGACGAAGTGTGGTGATTACATATCTGGTGCCTCCTTTTACCAATATTTATGTGTTTAAATAAATAAATAAACAGTAAGGTGATGGATAAAAGCAAAATTTCTAGAACAGTTTAGCTCGTAAGTATTTTACTACACTTCATTTATTTTCCCCTGAAATACATCTGTTGCTTTTCTGTTCAAATATTTTTCTCTATTTCTCTTGGTTTTCTCTTTTAATACTCTTCCGGTTGTGGCAACTTAAACGGATACATCATTTTTTTGCATTGTCTCTATCGATTTATCTCTTACTGGCACTGTTTGTAAAACTACTAGATCGTTAGTCAACTAGTCTCTGATTATTGGTTCAATATTTTGATCTCCGTTTTTCCATAGATTTACGCAGTTGTAATTACTGTCTGATAAATGGATAAAAATAAGTAAATACAGATATATTCATTTTTTTAAATCTAACCGTTTGCATATACAATTGTCTACTAAATGGAATTTTATACATTACTCTATTCGTTATTAAGAGGGTAATCTCCCTTTGAAATTGTCTAGGTTTTAGATGCACATAGTGGGCCAGTTCAGTTCACATCACGATTTCTTTTAGAAGCTGGTATGCACAGTCATACTATTAGTTTGAAACGTGAGTCGCGCAAAGCTGCAGCTGTATTGTGGCTTGCTCGAGTTGTTCTTCGTAATCCGGCTTATGCTGAGTGGACACGCAGAGCTGATGTACATCAACTTAGGCACTTGATACAAAACAATCCTTTAGCTCAAGCATATTATGCTCATTGTCGAAATCAGAAGTCTAAGATAACCAACAACAAGGACAATGCGCGATCAAGATTAAACCAAATTGTTACAGCCAATGCAGATTTATCAAGATCCACTTACGATCTGTCTGCTACGAATTCATGTGACAATGAATGTTTCCAGACTAAATTCACGGAAAAGACTTCGTATGGCTTGTCTACAGCCTGGTGAGTTCATATTATGTTTGTTTTTTATGTAGTAAATACTATATATCTATTGCAATAGTATAGACACTTTGCATTTTCATAGAATATTATCATCTTTAATTAGGTTAACTATTTTTCGTATTGCACTTGGTAATGCGACTTATACTCAAGCAATCTGTTATTTAAAGTTCATCAAAAGGTGTTAAGAACATTTCTCCAAATGTAAAAGTTGAGAACTAATCCAATCTTGATATAAGAGACTACTTAAACGCGTTATAACTAAGATTTTTAGGAGAGGATAATAACTTGGCTACACATCTAATTAATAAAGAAAAAAGGATGGTGGACACTAAAACGGTAGTACCATTTCTTGTATATCATTTAAGGATGTTTTTTCGTTTTTGTCTGTTAGTCGAGCTAGGTGATATACCTTAGTACATCATTAGTCAATGGTAAGTTGAATTTATTCGTGGTTTGTAAACTTGCAAAATAACAATACGTAATTGGTCGATGCATCATAGAATTAGCGTATACACATTGTTGACGGACATAGTTATCGTTATTCTATTGGATACAGTTCAACGCAACTAATGGGTGTTGTACATTTTCTACTTCTCTTGAGGTGACAATAAACCACCGGAGATTCAATATGGTTATCATTTGTAAAAAAATATTCGACCACTCAAATGCAGTTTACTAGTACAACATTTAAACATATTAGAAAAACGTAAACAACTTGAAATCTAACCCAAATGTTTATCGATTCAAATTACCAATCTTCACATTAGCATAACGAAAGCAAACTACAGCTTCACCTACCTAGCAATTGCGGAAATTCTGCGTTACGTTGTTGGTTTCGAAATCGTACCTTTTCATAGTCTTGATATGCAATCAGAAGTGTTTAGAGATTATTAATATTAACTGGTAGGAATTGTTGCTGTAGTTCTCCATCCTTTTTTAATTCGATTTTGTCACACCTAAAATTTTTACTGACTATTTCTTTCAGCTTGGCGTTGTATTGTATGGAGCTTTTGGGTATATTTTTTTAAGGACTTTATTCAATACTTAGTTGTTTGGAGACGGATACCAGTAATAATCACATTGAAAATCTTTCAATCATTCTTTCCACAGACACTTATATTAGTTGCTTATACATAATGCGCAGCGACTCAAGTTGTTACACTATATATATAGTATTTAACAGAAATTGTGTGCATAGCTAAATATATTGGGTAGTTAGTAATAGGATAAAAACAAATAAATGTTCCAGAACTACATAGATAGACATATTCGTTCGAATCAATATAATGCTTGTGGCCAATTGTAATGCGGTTAATCCCTTTATTGCTCCTCTAAAGAGTAACATCATAATCTCAAAGTTTAACATACTTTATTCATATATTTTTACGTCCATTATTTATGGTAAATGCTACAAAAAAATCTTGGATTGTTTTCTATTTTATCTTATATAGGCAAGTATTTTTATTTCTGTACAGAAAAGACAACTTTATTTTCTATTTATTTATGTGACGGAATTTAAATGTAAAAATGTTTTCAAGTGTTTAATGTGAATTGTTTTGGGCATCAATGTAAAAATCTCAATAATTTCACATATTTCCTTGATGTTTAACAAATTTCAATTAGTTTTTCCTAATATTTTGAGTATAGATTTTAAGTTGTTTGTTTCATTGATTATCTGTAACTTGTATCAAATGATACATACTCCGGTTGTGTAATAGTTGCTTATCACAATTTCTCTTTATGAACTCTTTTCTTCCCTTTAGTGATAATTCTGACGAGTCATCCAATGAAGGAAAATACACAAATTTCTCAACACTTATACGTGCACCTCATTCCACACCGAGTGGTCATAACCATCATATGTCAACATCTGTGATTGATTCTTTCTCTGAAAACCATATATTTGATGGTTTAGATCCTTCTATTAAATCTGATCTCGAAGCGCTGCGATTAGAGGAAGAACAACGTCAACCATTGTGGCCTCCAATTTTGGAGCATATCACAGGTTATAAAGAAGCTAATTTAATTCCGCTAGCTTTACGCTACCATGCAATAGCTTTAAGATTAATAGCTGAAGTGGCTCGTGGTGGACATTTGGCTGTTGCCAATGCCAGTACATCTGATCAACCTACCAATTTAAGTGTGAAACAAAATAATGATGCAAATGTTCATATGATCGACGTTGATGTGGAGGATCCATCTAATCCTCAGAACACACGTTGTGTATCACCCGGGGGCCATTATTTGCGTCGTCAGTCTGTTACTAAATATTGTTCAAGGTAAATTAGTATTTTCTATGTGTAGTACATACTTCTAAGTTATTTAACAATTTCAGTTTTTAATCGAAGTTCATTAATACAAACCTGGTTTGTATAGAGCGGCCTGTTAGATTGTTGTTTGAGATCCAACTGAGGAAATTTGTAACTCAGGTGAATGATTTTGGTGGTTGATCACGAAGCATATAAATTTAAATGTAATAAAGTTCTGTTTTACTGTAGGGTGGTTGTTTTAATTTACTGTTTTTAGAGGTTACTTAAAACGTATTAAATAAATAGTTAGTTGGACGTTGAATACTTTAACCCCTAACCACCGCTTCACAATTAATAAATATAGAAGTTTAACTTATAGTCTAATTGCTTAGTGCGCTTCACCGTAAAACTGATGGCAGTTCTGATTCACATTACGGATACTAACACACTACCACGTATCATCTGATTAGTTCGAAGTGAGCCCACAATTCGACTGCAGTAATTAGTTAATGAGTTTCATTGAAATTATGAACCGATCAATGTTAGACCAGCATTGAAAACGTCCGTCCAGTTCTTTTAGGTTTTCAATGGTGGCTTATTAGCATTGATCAGTTCATAATTTCAGTGAAATTTGGATTTGACATTGAAAGGTAAAGAAACGTTATGAGACTTTTTCCACTCTGCATTAAAATACATAAACCATGAAATTGCGAGATTTCATCGCTGCTAACAATTTAAAATATAGCTAATGGGTAAAACATGCAAATCAGGTATGTTATATTACTCTTAAAGCTCAATCGTCATGGTTTCTGGACTCTGATATTGGTTACATAAACTGCACACTTTAGTTCGATCTAAAAAGTTTTTCCAACGCTTAACGTAATACATAATAGAGAATATCCAATACACGAACCTACACACAATATTTGTTTTTCTATACTGTTAAATATGTTTATTACTTGCTGATAATTTTTAGATCAAAATGTATGTTGTCATTTCGTTTCTGAATTTCAATTGTAATAAAGTGTTTATTTTATCTCCCAACATTTCTTACCCGTACGCGTTTTTTCCTGTTTTAATGCAGTGCATTTTTGAGTGTCGCTGATGCCTATCCTCAATTGTCATTTGACAATTTTGTTCCATATTTCCCATCTATCCAATGTGCAGAAACGTGTACGTGCTTTGTTTGTACAAATCTTATTCGTCGTTTTAATTAGTCACTACCACTACAACTCCAACTAATTCTTCCTACTACGTATATATATATAATTGTCTTTCGTATGCTTGTATGTATTTTATTCCTCATATTATTTCGGGAGGTGAATTAAATTATTCGGTATTCGTAAAGTGCTAACGTGATTTTTTCATTGGTCATCTCTGAATTCTTCTGTATTGAAGCAGAAACATGTTCTTTTTAATGTCTTTTCCTTCTCTAGTTTTCTTTTTAATCTATATTATTTATTTTATATGTATTAGTCATAATTATTATTGTGGGTTTTTTTTATAGCAAATTAGGATTTTCAATTTTAAGGCACCATTATATGTGGACCGATGCATATATGTGCCTGGTCCTACATTGTATCTGACTGACTATTATATTCAACTAAACAAAAAAAGTTGAAATTTCGCTGTGTTGTTGTACTTTTTATATGTCCAAACGATCTTTCCAATTTTATGTTAACAATGTATACATATAAATTATGTTATTACTGATGATTTTATGTACCTCCACATATATGTTATACGTCGAATTGAATTTAAAATCCTACCATAAATAAAAAATAAAACGCAAGTATGGTGAAAGGAATCTGGTTCATTTAGTAATTAATGAATCCAGTATTTGCATTTCATCAAATTATATCTCTTTGTCAAATGATTTACTTCATTTAAACTTATGTTTATGTGTAACGCATGTAACACTTATTTATTCGTTTTTGGAGTAAATTATTTCCCATGGTTCTATACAAACATTTGTGAAACATGTCCCATTATTGTGGCATTTTTCCGTATTTGTTTTAATCCAACAATAAAGGGACTAAAAAACCAGAAAAAAATAATTCAGTCTTGATCAACGAGCCTCGGAAATAAATGTGCGTTTGTCTAAATTAATATATTACAGCAGCTTGTGAAGAGGGGGTTAGTAAAATTAGTGCTAAATCAATCGAAATAATCGTATTGGTAATGATAGTGAAAAAGACTAAATATCGATAATAGAGTTCAAGAAGGTTAACTGAAAAAGAATGCCAGGATTTGAGACCTGCAAGATTACAAAGAATGAGTACTACCTCTGCGTCATTTTGATCATTTTTGAACCATTTCTCTCTGATTCTCCTACCACTCCTCGTGGATATTGCCCGAATCACCTATAGTCAATCAGTGTATTAACTGATTCCACGTTTTGGTTTGACTGGATTGTTAATTTTCGTAACACCTACTTCAGCGATATACAACGAGTTAGCTGTGGTTGCATGCATATTACACGTGCCCGCCATCTCAGTTGGTGGAAATTTACAATCTTACGCCTAGTACTGTGCATCTATCATCACCGGTTGCACTTTCGTTCCACTGTATTTGAACATTGCTTTAAGGACCCCTATAGTCGAATAATAGTAACCTAGGAATGCTGTTTACTCCTGAAGACTACGTTTTACAACCATAAAATAAAACAAATCAAACTGATACGTAAAATTCTCGTCCTTTGGTTGGTGGACGGTCATCTCATCTAAACCACAGATGAGGCAAGTTAGAAATAGGAAGTGTCCTTCCTCGATTCCGAGGCAGTGTGGTCGACGATCCTAATTCCTTCAGCTCTTATCATAAGTATGTGCGGTGACACAAACCGGTCATGGGTTACCATTTTACATACATCATAAACATACCTGGATGACTGAAACTGTTCTGTTCAGTATCATTGATTACGATTGTCGTCTACGTACTCCATCTCGATTAGTGAGTTTTCAGAAAAAACCAGTGCCTGAAGAGTTTGGTTGAGAAAATGAAATTTCCGGTAGGAAACGGCCGTCCAATGCTTCCAGGTTTTCCATGGTGGTCTAGCTTCAATTGACTCTTGGTCTTAACGATTGAAATTACTATAACATCCACAAAAACCCTTCCAATAAATATTTATTTAGGTGATAGCATTTTGTATGCTTTCAAAACGTACGATTGAATTTTCACAAACTTCATTTCAACCGAAACTTAGTTATAAAATTATCCAGATTTCATAATTCTGTCAGAAGAAAGAATCTAAGTCTCAGATTCTTTTCATGTTTGTTGTGCATCAACCCATAAAGTAGATCTGAAATCGAAGATTTAACCGATAATCTGAGTATCTTCTTTATCATTAAGACTGATTTCAAACTTTCATAAAGAATCAATCTTAGTAAGACTGCTTTGTGAAGTAGAAGACCACTAAAAATATCAGTTATTATGAACTTCGTGTCTTAAGGGAAATTACGAAACTTAGATAGTCGGATGGATTATAGAGATTCATATATATTAAACAACTATCCTGTCGACATCGTTTCATGTTGGAAACTGTCTTCGAATTAAACGGATCTTTACATACCACCCACCTAAATAATTGTACACAACTATTAAACGTGTCATTAAATGACGAACGGAGAGTATATGAATTAAGTTAGAAATTGTGACAAACGTATCTCCTTAGTAATTGAGTGTTATGGTGGTAATTATGAGTCCAGAAATCCACAGTAGAATTGTCTGTGCACTCGTATTTAGCGATCTTCAGTTGGGTTTAGACATCTGTAAAGTGTTGATTAGTCTTCACCAGTTCTTTAATCAATGTCAGCCATTCGTTGTTATCATGGTCAATCTAGATTCGAATGACCAGATGAATAGTCTCATTAGAACTGAAGATTACTCAGTTATATGATTTGGAGAAGCTTCTCAGCTTTTAATATATTCACCAAAATAAATTAATCCAATGTATCAGCAATAATAAAACTTTTTTCCACACAATTTATCTAGATCATCTGACTGATATTCAGCATAAGAAGGACAAAACACAAGGAATTTTATAGTCCTTTTCTTGTAGCGATGATGGGCATTTCTCGTCGTGATTGTTTGAAAGATATACTCATTCTGAAAAAAATCTCTAACGTAGACTTATTTGATTCAAACACTGCTGTCTAAAAAATACCAACCCAATATTCAGCCGTTTTTGATGACTTTTGTTGTAAACTTCAGTCCACGGTAATGACACTAACGCACGTTCTGCGTACTAAACAATAGTCACTCGTTTCCGAACCATTAATCAGAATGACTAAAAGGTACTTTGAATGCCTCATATTATACACAAATTATACCAATGGCCTATGTTGAAAATTGTTCCTGAAGTTCCACAATTTTGTTTTCTCACCTTTCGTAACACATTATTATAAAATATCAAAATATCAGTGTGCTTTTAGTAGATTGATAAATGTTTTATTATCAGAAGAGGATCTGTTGTGAGACAGTAACTTACTGAAGACAATAGTGGACAGTGGCGCAATTTCGTGAATTGGTTGAAGTTAGACATTAACACCGTTGGACTTCGGCTCACTGGTCTAGAGGTTAAGCGTTCGCGCACGGGACCGGTAGATCTTGTTTTCGAATTCCGCGGGGCGTGATCGTGCATGCGCACTACTGAGAAGTCCTGTACTAGGACGGGACGGCCATCCAGTGCTTCCGGGTTTCTCACGGTGGTCTAGCTTCAACTGACTCATAAATTCAACTATTAAATGTTTTATTCCTTAATGAAATCTAGCGTAGTTACTTGACCTTTACTAGTAACCTAATGAATTAATCATCAACTGGTATAAATCTGATTATCTTATCAATCTAAACCTTTTATTTGATTAAATAGATCTAAATATATTCTCATAAACTATGTTTAAATTTTACAATTTAGTATTTATACTTCCTTTATCTTGTTATACCCTCTTCTTTTTGAATGAATAAAGTATAGCGTTTAAACGATAACCATCTACATTTATTTTAATCTTACCATCATTTTGACATATTCTATGTTTTATATTAGTTATTTAAACGTAACAAGGGAATTAACTCTTATTCTTATGTAATCATATGCTTGTTATTCATATGAATTTATTGATATTTATCTGATTAAAATTAAATTGGGGTTATGTTTTCTTACAAACCATATCCAAGTGAAATATTATTGAACATCATAGTATATAAAAAACTTGTTTCTTTTTAATTTGAGGAACTCCATCACTACACTCTGTTAAATACATAAATTTTTATAATCTTTTAGTGATTGTAAAAAAAACGGAATCTTAACTATTATATAGTAACCATGGCAAATTAATTTCTACGTTTAGCGGTCAATGATAAATTACTGTGTAATACTAAAAGTCAATAATTTATGTATATATTGCAAAGTAAAATGAGTTATCCCGTTGAATGCGGCATGTAGTGCGACGAGTGCAAAAGCTGGTACCACGAAGTTTGCACGAACTTAACGCCTGCGGCTTTCAAACGGCTCAGTAAGAAGGGTTGTGTATGGCTTTGTCAACAGTGCTGTTCGGATGCGAACAGCCTGTTAACCGAGGCCATCTCACTGGTTGATGCTGCAATGAAGTGTTTTAGCAAGCATAGTCGTAACACGTCAAACAGCACTCGATCTGTTGACACACAAATCGACATGAAGCAAACTAAGGTTAGTTCGATAATAGATGACTCACGCCGATCAAAGAAGGAAAAGCAGTCTCCAAAGGGGCCTGCCTTAAACAAAAGCTCAAGGAAGGTAGGTTCTTCTGTCCCCTGTCTCCAAGATGGGATCCCACAGGAAACGCCTAGAAGCCGTAATCGCAAGGCTCGATCGGTTTCAAGCGGTAAACATAACCTGACCTCTCAGTTGACGCAACTGTCATTGCCTCCACCAGCACCATTGACGAGTGGGTACAGGTTGTAAGGAAGAAAAAATGTAGCGATGTAAAAGGTAAGCCTACCCCCGCGACAGTAGTCGTAAAATCGAGAGCTGATCATAGCGACAGATCAGCTATTTTTCATAGAATCAAGGAGAGCAAGAGCTCTGAACCTAAAGCTCGTTTTGAGCATGACAATGTGCTGATTAAGCAGCTGCTTAATCAACTCATGCCTCAAAATATCAGCGGGGTCACCTTGCTAATAGTGTACAGACTAGGGAGTCTAGCGTACCCGAATCCAAATCATTCCAGACTGCTTACAATAG